TCTGGTGAGAGAACGGGAGCATTCCCTTATACTGAGAAACGACTGAACCTCAGCACTTACTGGCAATCCGAAATCAGCCAATAGACTTGTTTTCCTGAACAGTTTTTCCAAGCATTGATCACATCCTTCAATACCAGCTTCCTACTCCCTCCTTCTGGAGAGATCCAAGAGAAAGAGAACCAAATAAAAACCATTAGAGTAGAGTGGCCGAGCAGAGGAGGCACCAGGAGTGGGGGAAGTGACAATCTGAGAGCTCCTGGAAACAGGAGAGAGGGAATAGTGCAAGCCTTTGAAACCTCAAGGCCCATCCTCAGGGACGCATCTCCTCCGACAAGCCACACCTCCTAATCCTTCCCAAACAGTTCCACGAACTGGCACCATGTATCATCAAATATGCAAACATATGTAAGTATGAGAGACACACTTACAATATTCAGCGGCCCAGAATGGGCACTCCCATTGCAGGTGGGAGAAACACAAAGAGAGCAATTAAAGATTGGATCAAAGCAAGACTGAACCCTAACAGGGAAAACACAAAACTGCGGCTCTGTGTTTGACCTTTTAGGATCCTGATGGCATGTTCTGCACTCTATCAGATTTAGAAGTCTCATTTTTTTTTAGCTCTGTTTACCTATGTAAACTCTCTTGGGCTGCTTCCACTTTAAACTCAGTCATGTTATTTTCTCACCAGATTTCACATTGTCATGTCTTTTTGCTCCATTCTCTCACCATAAATCTGGCAAAGGTCAGTGAACATTAGCCACACCACAGCCTGAATGTTTGCTGCCTGTCCATTTCCTGCACCAAACAACTTAGTCTTTTACTTTAAATCTAGACTCACTCAAGCCTTTGAGGCAGAGGCAGACTCCCTTTAGGGTCTGTGTTCCCTCCTTTTCAAAATCTCCTAAGGCAGGCAGGCCTTCACTACCCACATGTCTCTTGGCGTTCTGCTCTTCCAAGCTTCCAGAACAGTCCCTTAATCTCTGCTTACAGCATTCTAAAGCTTCTTTCATCCACGGTTCCAAACTCTCCCTTGTAACCGCCGCTAAACTAGTCTGAAAACCTAGGAACCACATGGTCAAGATTATCCCAATAGCCTACTTCTCAACAGCAGTTTTCTGTATTGGTTAACTGTCTTGTTGCTGGTATTAAATATCTGTCGAGAAGCAGCATAAGGAAGGAAAGGATTATCCTGGTTTACAGTGTGGGGCTACAGTCCGCGGTGGCAGGGAAGGCATGGTGGCAGTGGCCACCCCTGATTGTGACAGCAAGAACATGGAACTACTGTCTCAATGTCTAGCCCAATCTCAAGCAGAGACAACACTCCGCCGGTACTCTCTGGGTCCTCAAAAATTCACCATCCAAAAAGATTCCGAGGCAGAGATTTTGAAGTGAAGAGAGCTGGGAAACATGCTCTGAAGATTTTGAAGTCCCTGGCATTGAAGCAGGAGCAAATGAGAAGCCAGGGAAGTTCCAGCAAGAAAGGAGGAGAAATCCTTCAAGTACGAGGAAGTGCATTTTCTGATACAGGCTACTGCTAAGTCACCTCTCAGCGAGGCCCTCTCTGACCACTTAGCTCACCCATCCATGGTCATGTATCTCCACGCTGACACAAAAACCTGTGTGGGCAGGAGCAAAAAGAATCGTTAGTTGAGGTGTTAATTGAAGGATCCATTGAGTTTCATTGAAGACTCTCTGAAATTTTAGAGTTTCACCTTTAAATGTTTTTGACTGAGTGACTAAGTAAACAAATGAGGGAAAAAAATCCCAGTTTATTTCTTTATATTCCAAGTAATAATAGAGTCAGGGAGTTGTTGTGGAATATGAGAGGGAAGAGGGGAAACAGAATTAAGCAATAAAGTCACCAAACAAGTTAAGTCACCGGCCTTTATGCTCAGTCTTGGATCTGTGGCTAGCATCACTTCTAGCAAACATGATCTTGAACTATGGACCTCTGTATAGGAAAAGATGTGGCGCTGCTAACAACTCCTAAAAACCAAAGTATACAAAGGAGCATGTCTTCACAACAAGGCAAACGCTAAAAAGACACCTGGGGTGCTTAATGAGAAGCCGTGAGAGTCCATTAAGGAAAAGGAAATGTGTTTCCCTAGCCGCTTTAAGCAAAAGCAACAAAAGCTCAATTCAATTCATCCCCAATTAAATATCTGATTTCTCTTAGCCCCAGAATAATTCATCACCACAGACAGGCATTTCCTTATTTTATTACTGAAGCCATATTTAATATTTGTCTTAAATGGATTGCGAAGCTAACAGCAATGTCATTTGAAGTCCAACATTTCACACTTCTCCTTGGCAGAGCCTATGACAACAGTTCAGTTTGATTTGAAAACCCTTGCAGTTGGACGGGGAAAGTGGTTCAGTACTGAATGCCTGCTCCCATGCACAAGGCCCCGCTTCCCAGTGACCAATTCCACCAGAGAAAAGCATTAAACCCTGTTTCCTGAGATGCAGAGGAGAGCAGCAAATGAACCTGACAATAAGGGAGCGGGTGTGGGTAAAAACAGTGCAAGGCCTTTGTAACACAACAGCTCAGAAAAGGAAGCTCCTTGCTTGTCTGTCTCTGTCTCTGCTTCTGTCTCTCTATCTCTGTCTCTGTCTTCTGTGTCTCTGTCTCTGTGTATCTCTGTGTCTCTGTCTCTGTGTATCTCTGTGTCTCTGTCTCTCTGTCTATGTGTGTGTGCACACATGCGTGCACGTGTGCATGCACCCGTGTATGTGCTGTGAGAGCGAAACCCGGATTGTTGAGCATGGGAGGCCCAATTCAATATCCCCCCATTCAATAGATTCATCGTTTGAAGAGTCACCTAGAATGAACACTGGGGGACGGTGGTGTTTCCAGAGCAGGCGTCATGGCCTCATCCCATCATGGACTCATAAGAGAGAAGGGATGCTGGCTCCTGTGTGCTGCCTTGTGCTGGCTCAGACACAGAGATGGGTGGGTTCTGCAGACTAGGTGTGAAACAAAGCTTGGTTTTCTTCAAAAAATAGGAGGGCGTTTCCATTTTTAATAATATGTTTAATATACTATAAAATAGTATATAAAATTAATGTATCTAGCTACTCTCTGTGTATCTTTATGGTAATACCATAATCTTTCTTGTCTGGTAATGCTGTAATAGGAAAGGAAAAATTACAAATTTAAATTGTCAGCATGAATTTTGGCATTAATCTTTATATGATACAATTCCAGTTTTAAATTTAAATATAAGAACATTTTATTTGTGTGCAAAAATTATCAAAATTGCAAAATTCATTGTTTCATGGTTCACACATGAATATTTATTTTGCTCTCAGAAAAACAAAGAAAAAGCACAAAAGGAATGCACCCCCCCCCTCCGTTTCCACCTTTGCTTTCTTACTATAGCACATTCTAGGGACACCCTTGACCTTTGACTCACTGGTACATTAGGAAAAACTTAAACAACAAGAAACTGAAAAGCTGCCCCATTTTGTACATGTATGTATTCATATATGTGTAGTGCTTGTGTGTGTGTGCATACATTTGAAGATCAAAGGTTGAGTCTCAAGTGTCTTCTTCAATCACTCACTCTCCATCTTTTTTTTTTTAAAAAAAGTCTATGTGTGAGGATTTGCCTGCACATGTGTATGTATATAATTGCATACATGTGTGTATGTATACCACATGCATATCTGCTGCCCACAGAGGCCAGCAGAGGGTGTGTGATCTCCTGGCACTGGAATTATAGTTGTGAGTCACCATGGGGATGCTGAGAACCCAACCCAAGTCCTCTGCAAGAACAGCGAGTGCTCTCAACTGCTGAGCCATCTCTCCAGCCCCCAGCCCACCTCCATTATTTTTTGAGACATGGTCTCTCACTGAACTTGGCTGGACCTCTGGTATACTGTCTCCAGTGGTCACCCAGTCTCCCTATCCAAGTTCTATGATTCCAAATGTGTCATCATGAGCTATAGCCCCACTCTCCACTTTCTCTTGGGTGCTGATTTCCAATTAACTAGGTGTTAGCTAGTATTGTTAGCAAGAACAACCAGGACTGTGCCAGTGGGTCATGATCATTGTTGTTTCTTAGAACGCCACTGCCCACTTTTGAAACATTTCTGGTTTAAGCAAGAGCAAACCCCTCAGGGTTATGAACTCCCCACTTCATCATAAGCAGGACATCACTTTCGTGTTCCCATTGGGTTTTGATTAGTTGCCATGTATAGTCAGTGTCTGCTGCAACTCTGTGGCCCTGGGCCTTTCCAAAGGTTCTATGCAAAGGCAGTGGCAAGGGATGGAAGACACACATTTCATGTATCTCCTCTGCTTACACACATGCTCCATTTCCTCACCGAATTCACAGAACACCAAGTCAAGGCTTAAATTAGCCAATGGGTAAACAAAGAAAATTTGTTGTATGTATATAATGGAATTATTCAGCTTTTAAAAATGAATGAAATTCTGTCATTTGCAGCAATATAGACCAATGTAGAGGCTACCTTGTTAAGTGAAATAGGTCAAACTCAGAAAGACAAATTCCATACGATGTCACATGTAGAATGACATTTGTCTATTTTAATAGGTAAACTCATAAAACAGAAAGAATGTGGTTGATAAGGCCCAGAGACAGGAAAGAAAGTAGAGAGGTGATGGTCAAACTTTCAGTTATACAAGGTGAGTGAGCTTTAGAGATTGAGGACACGGCATGGTGAGTATGGTTACCCATGTTAGACTGGATATTTGAAATCACTTAAGCGGGTAGACCTCAAACATTACTATGTGCACTTCAACGTCTGAACATAAAAGACACAGAAAGGAGGAACCAAACCACTTTGATTTCCTTGTATCACCTGATGCAAACCCAGCGACCACTTACTTTCAAGGTATCTTTTTCTGGAAATGAGATAAACATATCTACTCTAATATCTTCTTCCACCAGTGGGCGTTCATCTCCGCAATGAAAACGTCCAAGGCAATGCAAGGAAATGCTTTTCTGATGATCCAAAAGATGACTATTCCTTCGCAGGATGACTCTGCATGCTCCAAGAGGGAGGAGGGTCTAGGGGACAAAAAAATAGTGTCATTATTATTCTCTCCACACAGACAGCATCAGGACGATCCCAGGCCCCTCTCGGCCAGTGGTTCTCCAGCTTGTCTGAGCGTGGTGAACAACCAGGAGAGACTGCTAAGCCACACATCGCTGGGCCCACCCCCAGGGTCTCTGCAGGAGAGATTGCTAAGCCACACACTGCTGGGCCCACCCCCAGGGTCTCTGCTTCTTTAAAAGCCACTGTCCTGGATGTCAGATGGATCCAGTAAGGGCACAAATGCTGTGATTTAGAAAACAAATAAGATCTTCGGTTGTTGTTAAAGAGAACAAATACGTTCGCACCTCTAGCTCTGAAATTTATCTTTGGACCCAAGTGTCCTGAAGTGAACTTCGCTATGCAATGGTGAGGTAAGTACCTATTCTTGCTTTATTTTGTTCTTAGGACTTTAATATTTATTTTGCTTATCTCGTGCCACTGTGTCTGTGTGGAATTTGGAGGACATATCGGGAGCTGATTCTGTCCTTCTACCTCGTGAGTTCTGGGGCTCAGACTCTGAGGTTGGCAGGCTAGTTCGGCAGGCACTTTTACATGCTGAACCATCTCTCTGGCCCCAGTATCCATTCTTAAACAACCAACGTATGCCTAGCATCAGCACACTGGATCTCTCTTCTGCCTTCATATTTAGAAGTTTGGGCATGGCTATTTATTTTTAGCTTGACAATTTTGGAAAGAATGTGAGTTTTTCCAGTTCAATGTAACACACAATTAAAGAAATTGTATTGCATTAGAGAAAAATTCATGTAAAATTTACATGCAGAAAGACAGGTATGGTGGCTATAATCCCTGCACTCAAAAGCTGAGACAGGAGGGTCACAAGTTCAAGACCTAGGATAGACGATAAGATTTTGTCTCTGAAGAAAATTATTTTCACACATATTTATAGATTTTTCTAGAACTTTAAAAATAAGCAGTATATATAAAATTAATTTTTCTAAGCATATTCACAGTAATGCAGTTATGGTTTCCACCAATTATGTATAATTTTTGTTGAGCTGAAACCACGTGTTAAAATGTAAAATTTGAAGTATCTCTTGACATTTTCTATGGTAGTATAATAAATAGCATTTGAACCAAAGCCCAACACACCTGAGAGCACTAAATATTTACTACACAGAAAGTAAATGATATTACGAATGCAATAAATGTACCACATATTACTTTCCTAAATTGTATGGTATGGTATACATTAACATCCAAAGGAATTATTTTCACTTAGTCATTAAGGATTTGAAACTGAGAATTACTATGTATCTATGTTGAAGCTTAGTTTTCACTGATTTCACACTTCATATATTTTTATATTTACAGAAGCAGGGTTTTTTTTTTTTTTGAAGTGACAGCATACGCTTGTCTCACAGACTCCACTACTTGTCTCTCTGAAATTTATTCCTTCAGTTGCACAGGTTAAATAAGATAAAAAGAATTTTTGTTGTGGCATTTTCTTTGGATGAGGTTACTTTTTAGGATTGAATATTTCCCTTCATGTCTAAGCACGGTCTTAGTAATGACCCTACCCAGAAGTTCATTTCTGTGATGTTTTCTATTCCTCTCCAGAGTCTGGAAAGTACCACTGTGCTCTGTGGACTCGCAAGTCATTTGGCCAAAATTAACGAAACGAATAAATTGTTGGAGCTTATGAATAGTTGCTAGTTAACTGAAAGAAAAGCAATTTGTGTGTGACCACAGTAGATGTGCAAATCAGTAGGGTTGGCTGTTGGTTGGCTAGACTGGAATGGAGCGCCTACACTCTTCATTGTATATTCCTCCTGTTCTTCCCAGTCCTGGGATACAGCACCATCTTCCCTGGCTCTTCTCCTCCAGGTTCATCAGAGCTACTCAGTACCAGAGGATGTCTGAGATCTCTCATCATCTGGTCCAAAACAAGCTCAAACGCAAGAGGTCCGGCACACAAAATCAACCTAGCCGGTCTTCGATCTGAGCCCAGCTCGTCTCCCAGATCTCCTTTTCACTTCACCAGTGCCTTCATTAGTCCCTGTTTCTCTCTTGGTGTTTCTAGCTTGCCTTCCCCTGAACACATGGTGTGTATGACACACCTGGAATGTAGCTGCAACCATCACAGTGGTTACCGTGCAAAGGCTAAGAAAGCATTATATAACTCCACAATTATGCTCAGAATTTTCTACATGAAGACAGATCAATTCTATCACATCACATGCCTTCTGGTAGGTAAGACTCAAGACTCTACAAACAAAATGGCTTGTTGGCGTAATCCCATGTCTTGCCTGACTCTGGTAGGACTGAGGTCACTGTGCACCCAGCATCTACCCTCCACTGCACCTGGTCCCAACACCTACATGCGCCTTGCTCGTGTATAAATGATGTGGTAAGATATGTGATTGCTATAAGTATGTGACTAACTCGTGTTTACAGGTAGGCTAACGGTGGAGAAGGCCACCCTTTGTACTGTAGAAAGGGAAGAGCCACCTGAGGACGTGGTGCAAGCAAGTGGCCCAGAGTCAGTCTTCATTAGCTTTTTCACAGTCCGATGGAGTTGTGGGCAGTGGTCTGCTAACCTCTGAAAGGCACAGTAGGTGAGAAATTCTTATGGCTGCTGCCTGGTACCCAAACACAAGTAATAGAAAGTTATCTGAAGTGCAGACAAGATGTCCCAGGGGCTGCAGTTAGAGAGATTCACTCTGAAGACTAAGTGAGAAGGAAATGGCTTGTCTTTGTCCTCACAGCCAGAGCTTCTTACTCCAACACGCTACATAATTAGCAGAGTGTAAAGATTCTTAACTCGCAGAGGAAATGTAATATAACAGAGTCATCTGTCTTCATGTAGAAAAATCAGGAGCTTAATTGCATCGTTACATAATGCTTTCTTAGCTTCTGCGTGGTGACTTTTGGGATGGTTGTAGATACTGTCCATGTATGATATAAACACCATCTCACAAGGCAAGACAGTAGCCTCATTCGACTTGGCTGATGATCCATGCATTGACGTCTGGGTTTCCCTTTGACAGTTTCTTTTCCTGCTCCTCTACTCCATTCTCTTATCTCACTCTTCTCTCACCCATTCCCGCTGTTACTTTGTTTTGTTCTCTTTTTTATGGTTGTTACTCTGTTTTATTTTGTTTTTAGTAGATGGTCTTGTAACTACCCAAGACTGACTTGTAACTCATTATATATTCTAGGTTGGTCTCAAAGTCAGAATCCTCTTGTTTCAACCTCCCTAGTGCTAGATTTGAGCATGGGAGTCAACACACCCAACCCTACTAACTCTTAGCTTAGTATGACTTTTTTTTTTTAAATACTCACTGGCCTAGAAAACTTCAGGATAATGGTTAAAACAAAAATTTGTCCTCCAAGTTTTTGGACAATTGTTGACTAATGACTGTGTCCCATATTATCTTATAATAATCAAGAATAATCAAGTTCATAATGTAATCTCAGATCAGTAAGACGGTTAGCGGTCATGAGACTCTAGACACAATTCTTAGTTTAGATTAAAAAATGTAACCTTGTCAGGGACGGGTTTCAGTAGTTCTTGAGAGCCCCTAGAAGATGTTTCCTTGCTCTGCAGAGCACAGCGCTGAAAAGAGAAAAAACATTAGCAGCCATTTAGTAAAGCACACAGAAAGTCTTTCTAAGCTAAGCGAAACCAGGAAGAGAAGAGAACAGGTGAGAAAGGCTGGGGTGAAGGATTATAAACAGAGGTGAGGCAGAAGACCTGCAGACCTCAGCGGGATTGGATTCCTGCCATCCGCACTTCCCTGAGCCTGGTGAACTCCAAACTGGCAAGTGGACGACCCTATAAAGCAGCTGGCTTGTGAGCCAGCGGAGGGGAGGAAGGGCTGTGAGCTGGAGTCCTGAAAAAGCACTTGCCACTCAGCCTGACTCCATGAGTGCCAATCTCCTGACCTACTCAAGGTCAGAAGAAGGATCCACCTCTCTCATGCTGTCTCCTTACCACCACACATGTACAGAGGCATAAGTGCTCCAACACCCTCCCACACACATAACACGCTCATAAATATAATGAAGTGTAATTTTTTTTTAAAAAGATGCCTCAAGGGTGAATGATTATAACTCTGGTTATAAAGAGTTAAAACACTACAGATCCCAAGCCAACTTATCTTGGCCCATTTTTGTCCCCCTGAATTGCTATGATTGTCTGACCTGCATCCTTTCAACGATCGGGTCACGGCTCTGGAATGCATCAATGGACACGTGACTTCTCCCCACACAGAAGTTGAGCATGCCATCCTCTCGCACCTGCCACACAATTCTCCACACTGTGCTGTGACCCGCCTCCCTAACGCTCCTACCAACATCTTGAGAAAACACCCCATTGCTGACTGTCTTCTGTCACCGAGTAAGGATGTGCATACCACTGCCTCCACACTGGACCAAGGAACTGGGACAACCCGAATCCACATCCCCAGGCCATCACCATGCCTATTTAGCTCAGAATAATTCCTCTCTCTTTCTTTTTGTAGTGAAAATGATGTTTAACAGTGGGAGGTGAAAAGTCATAAGATTCCTTCATCCCAAACTGGGAAGCCATTAGGTTAGTTATTCATTTAAAAATTCCTTCATATCTGGGAAGAGCTGGCAGAGAGAAATGAATATGGTAAAAACATGTATGAAATTCTTAGGAAACTAAGTACATGTTTTTAAAGGATATAATACAGAGGCATATTCCACTATTTATAAGAGCATATCATATATTAAAGATATTTCAAATTTTGTAGAAATGTTCATCAGTATGTGATATTTTATCATCAAATTTCCCATTTACATTGAAACGAGAGGCTACACAAGAGGCTTGAATATTTCTGTAATCATGAAGAAAAAAGTTAATTTCTAAGATTATATCAAAGAAACTGTGAAAAATTATTTGACATAATGTTTGACAGATTTTTCAAAGAAACAGAAAAGCACCATAGACCTTTTGAGGACACAGATAAGAAGCGGCCTCTCATCAAACAGTTGCTCTGGGATTTAAGCCTCTGGCATTGCTTGTCGCTTCCCCCACGCACAACTGTGGCACAGGCTCCTTTCTGCTGGAGTCTCTAGGGATCCCAGTATGAGCGGGGGCTGGTCATCCGTGTGTCACAGCCTAGCATATGCTAACTGACGGTGAAGCTGATTGCTAGATGTGGTGTGTTATCATTGACATGGTGTTGTTTATATATATGGTGACATGCATTATATAATAACCCACATAAAACATGTGTGCAGGAGGTATTAGCATCAAGACTGGTGACAGCCAGGAAGACAGGCTCTCAGACTAGGGAGCTTGTTAAGCCTGATAAGGTGTTTATTGGCATTGTTACCGACGATGACTTGGCAAGCAGACGATGTCAATCAATTTATAATCCTAGGGCTAGAGATCACACCAACTTAATGACGGATGTTCGGTTCCATGATTCACATACTTAAAAAGAAATTGGCTTTTTAACAATTAGTCAACTTGACAAAGGGGTGAGAAAAGAGAGGAGTTGGTGAGTAGTCATTTGCCCCAAAAGTCTGACACCGAGGTTGGCTCCTTGGCACTCTAGTAAGAAACAAGAAACTGCGCAAAGCTGCTCTTTGCCTCCACATCTACACCATGGTGTGTGCCTGCACATCCACACCCAGACAACAGTAACAGCTCCGTCTTTAAGAATAGAAATCTTGAAAGACGAAATAGCTGAGTCTAGAAGCTCAGAACTCAGTGACTTAAAACAACTGTATTGGCAGCTGCTTCTTGACCTCAACAAGTAGCAGCTAAAACTGAAACCTCCCCTTAGCGGCAAAGGTCAGCTTCAAACAGCCTTTTGATAAGAACCGGTGTAAAATGGGTCGTCATGCACGTTGTTAAAATCTCTGGAACACCCACGAAATTCAAGAGCGTCAGATTACCTACTAGTGCAGCCGTGCACAGCTTTCTAACTCAGCCAATGATTCTTGAGAAAGAACTGTCCAACCACAGCCGAGCAGAGGCAGGGTGCCTACATAAAGTCATTAAATGAGAGAGAAAGGAAGGGACAGCACAGCAAACCAGAGAGCAGCATCCACAGAACCACCCTGAGGAGGGACCACAAGTCACGATTCAATTGTGAAACTGAGCAGGGAGAAAAAAAATAAGAACTCAGTAATGGCTCCGGGCTGCTGCAGAAGTTATCCGTCTAGTGAACAAACTGTAAGATGGGTCCATTTGTTTTCACAATGGCCTGAGTCTAATAAGTCTCCAAAGAGGGCCCTTCTTCCTACATCCACTTCAGATATAGATTGTTTTCGTGAGTCAAAGGAAGAGGCTTCCTCCATGAGAAGCCTGGAAGGTTCTCTTCCTCCATGAGACGACTTCCAAAAACAGATAGCGGGCCGTGAACTCCTGGTTCTCCCACTCTGGCTCCCCAAGGGTTGGGATTACAAGCATGAGTCAACACACCCTGCTCCATCAACATTTTTAAAGACTTCCATCACCAGTTGAGCCTGGAGTAGAACAGATGTTCCCATAGTGTGGTGCATGGTTGTGCTGGGAAGTTTATACTCATCTGAAATGTAACGAGAGAAGTGACGATAATGTGATTATCTTAATGAAATATAAACAATTTCATTAAAAGAACTGTTTACTTAGGAAAGGGTAACTTTCCTAATTTCATCTTCTTAAAAATCTCATTACATTTGCCAAATGGTGGTTAAAAAAAAAAAACAGTAACTTTCATTGTTGTTACTAATGCTTTTAATGTGGCAACATTAAGTCTCTTGATTTCATCGTATCCAAAAGTCCAAAGCCTCTTCCACACTCAAGGTGATCTCATGTGAACTTTCACAGTCAAAAATAAGTCATTTACACAAAGTCGGAACTGGCCATCTTTTGTAACCAGGCAAGGCTTCCAGTGGTCGGACTAGGCTGCCTTTGGCTGAGTTATTGGCCAACCAATTATCTTGTCGAGATCCTTAAACAACCCAGGCTGATGCTAGAACAGAAGATTACTCTCTGAAACCTCTCAGCGGGGCTGTGTTGCCAAGGACAACATCCATACAGCCCAATGAATATCAGGGGTCAAGCTGGTGCCTGCCTGGAGCCTTCACCTTACATTGCAATCTCTTTGGTTGTGAGAAAGCACTCTGCAGACTACAGGAAGAGAAAGCGGGACGCCAACCCAGTCACGAAACCCTGCACCTAAAGTCTGTGCTACCTGCGAGACGTTCTGGGGCAACGGTGATGCAGAATGTATTGGAGTGGCCAACCAATGTCTGCTTGAACTCGAGGTCCACCCCATGAGAAGGAGGTCATGCCTACACTGTCCGGATGGCCAGAAACTGGAAACTGGACAGACCAGAGACCTGGGATATATTCAAACATATCTGTTCTTAAAATTAAAAAAAAAACAATGAAATCATTCCAATGTTACTCTGCTGTCCTCATAGATCAGTGTCTTGTCCAGTCATCAGAGAGGTTTCTTCCGGTAGTAGATGAGGGTGGATACAGAGACCCAAACATTATGCAGAGAGAGTCTAAATTGAGAGGATCTATCAGGTGCCTCTGCTAGAAGATCAGGGAGCCCCTCAGAAGAGGGGGAGGAAATGTTGTAGGAGTCAGAGGGGATGGAGGACACCAGGAGAACAAGGCCCTCTGAATCAACTAAGCAGGGCTCATAGAGACTGAAGCAACAAGCGCGGAGCCTTTATGGGTCTGCACCAGGTCCTCTGCATATATGGCTGATAGCTTGGTGTTTTGTGGGACTCCTAATGGGGGGGGGACAGTGTATCTCTAATTTTTTTGCCTGTTCTTGGGACTCTTTTCCTCCTGTGGGGTTGCCTTGTCCAGCCTCGACATGAGGGCTTTTTCTTAGTCTGACCGTATCTTGCTTTGTCCTGTTTGGTTGTTGACTCACGGTTGCCTGCTCTTTTCTGAAGAGGAAACAGAGGGAGTAGATCTGTGGGAGGGGGGAGGGGGGAAAGTTGAGGGAAACGGAGGGAAGGGAAGCTATGCTTGGGATGTATTGAATGAGAGAAGAATCTATTTTCAATTTTAATTAATTAATTACTTAAGTCGTGCATTTCTAACACAATGGAACAGACTAAGCATTATCTTTGGGGGGAAAAAACACAGGACAAAAATAAACCTTGAAGTCCATGTCTGGCATCTGTGGGATCACGATAGCATCATCCTAACTCCATCACACTCTTCCAGATGTGATGCCTGCAACACACATGGCCTCTCTCTCTCTCTCTCTCTCTCTCTCTCTCTAGGGACAGTTCCTCCTGATACATTCTATTCTTCTCAGTGGACTCCCCACAGGCATCTCCAGGATACTGGAGTCTCTGTTTTCCCCCTACAGCTTCACATGTAGCTGCCTCAGGAGTTCTATGGGGGAACCTGACCTTACTTCATACTGCCTGACCTTGGTGGCTCTTTGGAACCTTGACGGAAGTCTCTAGGACCCCCTAACTCTTAGAATTTTCATGTTTATAAAATCAGTACTGTATATACCATGTCAATTTCTGCTGATAGCTGGAAATAGATCCCCTTGGACCACAGTGGCCTCTACATGCTTTCAAGAATGCCCTGTGGTAATACTTCCGTGGGAAGTCCTGTGAGGAGCAGGGTGCCCTTAGGGGAGAGCGCCTTGTTCTAGTGCTCTCTCGGTTTCTCTCTCTCTCTCTCTCTCTCTCTCTCTCTCTCTCTGTCTCTGTCTCTGTCTCTCTCTTAATGAAAGTTTCACAAAATAGCTTGCTCTTTGGAGCTCTTCATTGACTGAGTCAAGGCATTTTTGAGGGTTTTCTTAACTTCACAAATCTCTTCAATAATACAGGCCTTTTGTCAATAACAGGTTCTGCCCACTACTTTAAATCTCTTCATGCCCTTTGCCTCACCAACAGCACTCTTTTATTCATATCTTTCTATTCCAATTTTTAGAAACCTCTTTCACTGAAATCTGAGTAGATGTGGTCTAAACATGCCACCAACTCTATGATTTATTGTCTTGGAATTTCCTCCACCAAACAAATTAGTCCATTGCTCTTCATTTTACAATAACTTGAGTTTTCGGACACTCACAGAGCTCAGCTGGATTTGTTTGCCATGATACAACATGAATGACATCTAGCCCAGTTCCCGACAGAGGCCTTGTTTTTCTCCATAACCTTATGAGACCCGCCTTTCCGGTCCACATTTTTATCTGCATCTTGATCTTCTG